GCACCAGGTGATGCCCTTCTGTAAGTGCCCACCGCAGGATGCCGGGAAGGGGCATTATTTGTGCACTGAGAACACCGCGCAGCGTGACTGTGAGTTGCTCATACTGTGCTGCTATCTGGGCAGCGCTGCCCATTTATTTATATGTAGATTTTAAACACTGCTGTTGACAAGTTGGTTTGAGGGAGAAAACTCTAAGAGTGAAAGCCACCTCTACAATTGATTGGACTTTTTAATTTTAATGTTTTTCCCCATGAACCACAGTTTTTATATTTCTACCAGAAAAGTAAAAATCTTTTTTAAAAGTGTTGTTTTTCTAATTTGTAACTCCTAGGGGTTATTTCTGTGCCAGACACATTCCGCCTCTCCAGTATTGCAGGACAGAATACATGTGTTAATGAAAATGAATGGCTGTACATATTTTTTCTTTCTTCAGAGTACTCTGTACAATAAATGCAGTTTATAAAAGTGTTAGATTGTTGTTATGATACCTTGTAAGAGTCATGTGATCATACTGTTTTCTAAAAAGTTGTATTTTAGATATAATGCCTGAAACCATTTTGGTGTCTGCTTGTTTGTTTCAGTCAATATTTCATTACATGCTTCAATGAAAGCAAATTAATGATCAGAACTCACAGTTGCTCAGGAAACGTGTATTTATTACCTTCTATATATTGAGCAACTCCTGTTTTCTAGGTACTTTCCATACGGTGCCTGGAATCCTCACAGAGCTGCAGTCAGGTTTTGTTCCTCTGTTGGAGGTGAGGAGATAATGGCCCCCGCTGAGACTTGGCTGAGGTTACACAGTTAGTAAGTGGTAAAAATTAGTGAGTCCTTCAGGTGTAGAAGCTGATGCCCTCTCCACAGGCTGCCAACTCTCTGCAGTAACTTTTTTTTGCTTGTTTTGTAGTTTTTTTCTCATGGAATATCAGGTGGACATTTGTGGGTTCTTAGGTTTCATTGTTAGGGTGGTTTTTTTTTTTTTTTTTTTTTTTTTAAATTGTAAAAGTACATCTTCAGGTGACTCAGGAATAAAATCAGAAAGGGGAGGCCCTTCCTTCCTTCCTTTCTCTTCTGCCTTTTTCCCCAAGATAATGACCAGATTAGTGGGTATCTTCTAAGCCCATTCTGTCTATCCTCTCTGGCATTTGATCCCATTTTTGGAAAAAAATGATAGAATACATTCAATTGTATAGCTTTCCCTTTTTTCAGTCAATATATCATAAACCTATTTCCATGATTGGGAATCTAGGATGCTCTTGTTAGGTACCTTCACTTACTGAGCTATTCCTGTAATTACAGTCATTTACATGCCCTCCAGTTTTTCAATATCATAAACAGCGCTGCAGGAACATCCTTGTATGTGTATTTTTTGGATGAGTGCAGGTATTCATGTAGTAAACTTTCCTGGAAGAAGAACTAAAGACTATACATTCTAAGTTTTAATCAGTTGATACCAGATTGCAGTCCAAAGAGAACGGCGTATGAAATGCCCTTTTCTTGCGTTTCCCAATCATTAGTGATGCCAATAATGTATGGATTAACTGGAAAGACATCATTCCAATATTATCTCCTATCTAAGAAAGAAGTATCCCTTCGGGTATGTAGGTCTTATGTTCCTCAGTAAAGTTTTACAATCTTTTTCACACAGGGCTTTTATATTTCATAAGTATTACTTCCTTAAGATATTACCATTTCTGTTGTTTTATTACTGGAAGTTTCTCTTAACACTTTAAAATTTATTGTTGATAATATTTTTGTTATTCCAAGTTTACTGAACTACTATTACTGCTGATTTAGTTGATTGCATTGAAAGTTCTAGGCATGTAATCATTTGTAAATAGTAATTCTATGTTTTCCTTTCCAATATTTTTCCTATCAGTGCCTAGGACTTTAATGTATATAACTTTAAAAAAAATCATCTTTTATAGTTGTAGCTACATATACAGGAAACCTAACAAATGTATAGCATAATGTATTATTCAAAGGCAGATACCCTTGCAGCCACCAACCAGGTCAAGAAACATAATTTTGCTGCCTGTCCTAGAAGCCCCTCCTTATGGTCCTTCCAGACACACACTCCTGGCTTCCCTCAAGCAGGAACTATTATCCTGACTCTCATGCATTTAAAGATAATTGAAGTTCCTTATCCATTTCTTTTCTTTCCAATTTACAGGCCATTTAGTGTTTAGAGCTTCCCATAGTCTGGGGTTTGCTAGTTGGAAATTCATGGTGTAGTTTCCCTATTCTCTGTATTTCCTGCAAATTGGAAGCTGCCGTGTAATTCCTAGATCTATTAATTCATTAGTGGGTTGCAATGGCATTTTAGTCATTTCTTTTTCATTTATTAATGTGAATACTTTTATAAAAGGATTATACTCCATATAACAGGATAAATACTTGCTTCTTTCCCTTTTTAGGTTTTCAAGATAAAATGATTTCATATTAATATGTCCAATTCAAAGCTCACAGGGTTTTTATTTAACCAATTCTATATTATATATACTCTTCCTTCTACAATGAGAATTTTATTTCTTAAAGACACAGGGGATGAGGAATTAGAATGTCCCATAATTACTCATTTACTTTACATATTTACTTTATCATTACTTTATCTGTTATATGTGCAATTTTTTTTGAGACATGATCTCACTCTGTTGCCCAGGCTGGAGTGCAGTGGCACAATCATGGCTTGCTGCAGTCAAACTCCTGGGCTCAAGTGATCCACCTCAGCCTCCCGAGTAGCTAGGACTACAGGTGCACATCAACACACCCAGTTCACTTTTTTTACTTTTTGTAGAGACAAAGTCACTCAACTGTTGCCCAAGCTGGTCTTGAACTCCTAGGCTCAAATCATCCTCCCACCTCCACCATACCATTCTTAAGAGTAACAAAAATACTATCACCAATATGATTGCCAAAAACACTTAAAACCGTTTTTTTTTTTTTTTGGCTGTACTATCTGAAACTGTCAAAGGATATTTAGTATCTGAAATAAAAAGGCAAAGCTGAATATGCTGCTCTCTACAGCAGAGGAGAGCTGCTGTGGCTGGACAGTATCTGAACCAAGCAGATCTTAAAACTTTGTAGGTATTGAGAAATGGTGGATGCATGGACAGCACTGTCTGTGGAGCCATGATTACGTAGGTGAGACTTCTCATTACCTTGTAGTGTTTTAAAATGTCTTCACATTTCTAAAGGCAACTTGCTTAATGCATTTTTTAATTTAAATTTTTTATATTGTACAGTTTATTTTTAATATAGTTGCTATTTTTTAACACAGATGCCCAGTCGGTGCTGTGACATTTTCTTTCTAGTGATTTGGACCAGTTTGTCTCCCTCTTGATATACCTGTTCCAAATGGAAAGGCCCTGTAAACTTTTAGGATCATCTCTGGAGGTTGACTGGAATAAACACCAATGACAGCTTGGCTGAGTACGCCAAAATACCTGCAAGAATGTCCATATCAAGTAACAGTTTTTACCACAGAAAGACCATAACACGTTTGCTTTAAAAGCCCGTAGCATTCATAACGTACTAACACATTCTGCCTATGCAGAATAATACATAATTTTAGATATGAAGGCCCTACTAGTCCAGGTTTCCTTACGCCACTGTGCTTCCTACTAAGTGTTGTGACCAACTCGTCACTAGTTGATGACAACTTACTTCAGTAGCCACAGGCTGACACCATAGTTATAGGTGGTTCTCATTGATTTAGCCATCCCAGGTTCGAAACTAGTACCCTCTAGCTCTTAAGTAGCCTAGTGTCAAACCTCCCCATGGGAGAAACTCCATACTGCAGTTTTCCATATGGTGCTATGTATAACTGCATCTTACACACACAGTTAGTACAAATTGCATATACATACTTATATAATACGGACTACTAGGACAGAAATTTCTAAATTACAAATCAAATAGACAATTATATTAGCAAGTGACGTTACCTATGAAAACGTGAGGATTTATGGTGGCAATGCATTTCAGTTAACAGGGATGTGTTAGGGGACAATGTGAGCCAATGTAGATTAAGGAAATAAGCCTGAGAAATTGATCAGAATTAGCCGTCAGTATTCAGGCACTGATCAACAGCAATGTGTCTTCAGGGCAGGCATCACTGGTGCTGAGAGAACTGGGAATTGTCAAGTGTGAGCTACTAGGGGATGGAAGGAACCTTAGTGTAGTCTTCGGAGCCACTTGCTTAAACAAATATATCAGAAACATAATAGGCCAAGGTCCTTAAACAAATATATCAGAAACGTAATAGGCCAAGGGTCAGCCCTTTGAAAACTGACTTCAGGGCCTTCCTTTCTTCAGGCTGCTGCCTCCTAGGCCAGACCCTTATCCTGGCTTACATTCCATAAGCCTTGTAAATGCGACAGGGAACATGTGTACAACGCTGACATGGAAAGGGAAGACCATCGCCTTTTGCCTTTCAGTGTCTCATCTGTCAGCAGGGCCACTGGCTGCCGAAGATCAGTTCTGAAGGTAGAGCCTCTTCCAGTTCCAGTTCTGTGATCACAAAGCCACTGTTCCTGATCTGCCAGCTGTGATACTGCTACTTCAGAATGACTGGGTTTCCTGTTTCTCGTACTCACCAACCTGAGGTTTGGTGTTTTTCTAATGTTCTGGGCTTCCAGTACATACTAGAGCCTGTGATAATCAGCTAATGATCAGACAAGTTTGTTGGAGTTTTACCTAAGTATTTATCTTTGTGTTTTAAAAAACTTAGGGTGGGAAGTGCTCTCAGAGTGAGATAGTTTGACTTCATTAGGCACATAACCCATTTTTATTATAAAAAGAAATGCACGTATAAGTAAAACGATCATTTTAGTTAGTCCCACCATTCGTTGGTAACCAGTGCACTAAGTGTACATCTTTGCAGATTTCTGTGCGTACATACAAATATTTTTACAAGAATAGGATCAAACCACGAATACCACCTATAATGGTATCTTGGTTGTCAATGTAGGTGTTATAATTAAGACTGTGTAGCCTTCCACGGTGGATGTACCAAAATTTATTTAATTCTCTGTCAGTGGACACTTTTGTTTCAGTAATATGTAGACACTGTGTAAGCAATCTCTCAACATCTCTGCACCTTTATTTTTGGTATAAGTATTTCCTTAGGATAAAATCCCAGAAATGGAATTGCAAGGTATAAAAGAGCATTAACATTTTTCAAGGCTTTAAGATGCCTTTACGGTGTAGCTGTTACATCCTGCTTCCACACAAATTCTTCTGTATAGCCAGTACCCAAGCTGCAGCTCTCAGCACAGGTGAAGACAGCCAGGATGCCCCAGTCAATGCTCTTGCCCAGTCTGTCAGCCTTCAGGTAGTTTAGGAGCTGAGGCATGACCTGAGAAGAGGGTGACACAGTTAGAAAGCCGCTTCACAGCAGGGAGCACTACTTTTAAGAGACCTTCTCAGCCAGGATGATTATAGGAATCTTGGTCTTTCAATCCTCATACTACAAAGCAGGATTATAGACATTATACAATTAACATGTTTTAACAATCTAAAACTTCCTTATGACTTCAAAGCCCCTCTCACCTTCTGTTTGATGTTTTCCATTTGAGAAAGAAGTTCACAAGTGGCTGTTAATAAATTATTTTCATTACTAATATGCCACTCAAAAGGGCTGAGGCTTCTATTTAGGCAACTTTTACTTTGTATCATTGCAGATATTGTTACTCTTGACTCAAGAAACACTAATTACTAGTCATGAATACAAAAAGGACATCTGTCAATGTAGTTATAGAGACCAGAGAAGAATCTCAGAAGTAGTCTAATTGAAAGAGTGAATAGGCAGAACAGCCACCATCCTGTCACCTCATTTTGGACCCTGAGAGCTCTGGCACTAAGAACCAAGCAGAGTTTTGGTTATGGTCCTCATAATTCCTTTTTTACCCAAAGAAACAAACCAATACTAGCTATGACTTTGGGAAGATTAGTGAATCCATAGCTCAAGAGCATTTCCACCCAAAATGGATTTTGGTATTTTGATGCTAACAGATCCTTTTGGGCAGGGGGGCACATTTTTCTTTAATGCTTATATCCATTTGTTCTAACAAATCCACAAACTAAGATTAAACAGTAAAGACTCCTCTCATAAAGTATGGAGTCAAAGACTTCAATTAATGGAACAAGGAAGGTATAAATTATTTAAAATAACAAAAGTTAACAGAGGCACTAACAATAATGACGTAACCACACTGGAGGTGAGACAGTGTAGATACACTCATCTTCACAGAAGTCAGTCAACAGACAGTGTCTGAAAACTAGGAAACAGAAAAAGACAAGACAGTTCCTTCCAGGGAACTAGCCCCAAGGTGAGGCAGGAAACTGACGGTTTTCATCATAGGCCACCCTTCCGTACTGCCATTGGACCCATGTGCACAAATTACCTTGGCGCAGTTTTTAATGTTTAAAACAATCATGGTGATTACACACTAAAATCGTCCTTATTTAGGTCATACCTGGAATTCCAGTATTCTCTTGGCACCACAGGGGCAATCTGGAATATCCTTTTCTTGAGGAATATTTTCACCAGAAATCCAGATGGGGGCAATACCTCTGCCATATCTAAGAATCTAAAATCAATGAGGATCATGTTCAAATAATCAATACCTTACCTAAAAGTTTCCAATGGTAACATGCTATCTACTCCATGAATGTTCCTACTCTTGATGTAGCACTGACCCAAAAGGCATGTCACAGTTCCTCCATCAGACCTGGCTGTGCCAGTGTGCCATTAATGCCTTCTCAATACCCCAAAGTGACTATTTCAGCTTATCTGACTCGGAGGGCATCAAAATATATTTCCTAGATGATGCTTTTACTACCTAATGTTGGAATGTTAGTCCTATGAATATATTGTGAAGGGACTAAGAATGAGCCTCTGCTCTGATTGCAGAGTTCTGCCCAGAGTCTGTGCCTGCCTTCATGGTTAAAAAATTTTAGGAGGGACAAATACCAAGTGAAACAGTGTTTTGAAAACTACTACAAACATAAGTAACATTTCACCGTAATAAGCTTCCTACAGCAACTGAGTAGTTTTCTGTATTTTGTCTAAAAGCATATGCTTTGCTAAAAACTGCCTTAGTGTTTAAGACCTAGATCTATTCTTCCTATAAACCCCTGGGTATTTATTTGAACCAGTGACTGGTTTATGGGTTTTTCCTCCGTGATTTACGTTTATGGTAGGGGAGGTTAAGGAGAAAATGTTAACATGCCACGTTTGTTTTACAAGCCAAAGGTACCTGTTGGAAATGGGCAAAAATCACCTTTTTTCTTTTTGTGGGGGGGCCATTTGTGCCTAAACCTCATGTACCTCAGGCAACATCTCATTCATCTCCCATCCCTGATGCTTTCTTTAGAAAATGAACCCTGTATGATAAACAGTATAAGCTTTAGTCTTTTAGTAACTATTAAATGGATCAGCACTGCAAAGCACCTTTCTACATGGCCCATCTGTGTGAGAAACTCCTCTAACAAGATAACAAAAGCCTGCTTTTATAGGCTCCTAAGGAACAGACTAGTGTTACTATGAAGTTATTTCTTCTCACAGATTATACTCATAAAACATGGCCTGAAGAGAACACAGTGAGGAGCTGTGAGTTCCACTTTACCTGTTCTGGTTCAAGGGCTATCTGAGTTTTAAACTTCTGAAAAATTGTATCTTCCCTGGATTCATGTTTTGCCATGGAATCCAGTTCTTCCTCAAGTGCTTCACCTGAAAAATCAACGTAACTATTATGAAAACAGGAGTAATCCCCACAACTTGTCAATTCACACCTGGAGAGGGGACCCCCTTTTAATCAGATAGCTTTCCCTATTTATTCACTCATTCAAGTTGGACCATCTGAATTTCCAGGTACTCCATGCAGCTCTATTATATGGGCTCCCATTTAGTGCATTTCCTTAAAGCTTCAAAATAACAGAATGGTCAAGGGCTTAGGACTGCCCAGCACATCACAGGACACCCAACAAATGTGAGCCCTTCTTATCATTAGTATCCTCAGCTGGTAGGCTCACTCACTCAGTCATCAAATGTTCATTTCCAGCCCATTTCTGGCCTGGTGCAGTGGCTCACGCCTGTAATCCCAGTACTTTGGGAGGCTGAGGTGGGCACATCACCTGAGATCAGGAGTTCAAGACCAGCCTGGTCAACATGGTGAAACCCCGTCTCTACTAAAAATATAAAAACTAGCCAGGCGTGGTGGTAGGTGCCTGTAATCTCAGCTACTCGGGAGGCTGAGGCAGGAGAGTTGCTTGAACCCAGGAGGCAGAGGTTGCAGTGAACCGAGATGGTGCCACTACACTCCAGCCTGGGAGACAGAGTGAGACTCTGTCCTAAAAAAAAAAAAAATGTTCATTTCCTTCTCCACATTTCTTCCTGGGATTACAGCCACCCTGAGCCACTGCTGTCCCCAGCAGACCCATGTCTCTAAGTATAACCATTAGTCTTTGTAATGTACATTAAAATAGAACTGATATACCTTGAGTAAGAGAAGCTAAAGTAACTGATGAAACTGGAAAGACACTGATGGTGTTCACTTGCACCATCAGGTCTGATGGAGGAAGTGTAGGATGCCTTCAGATTGATGTTCCATCAATTATACGAGGAAAGTTTCAGTGTAACCATTAGGACACTGTAAACGCTGTTCCCTCAGGCCCTACTGCCTCCTGCCAAACTCTTTCATCTGGGAACTCAAATTCAAGTCTCAGGTAAAACACGGCTACCTCCAGGAAGCATTTTTCTTTTTAATTCTCCTTTTATTTTGGAACATTTTGAACATACACAAAAGTGGAAATACTATAATGAACCGCCATGTACCATTAATCAGCTTCAACACTTATCAAGTCCAGTGTTTCCTTTCTCTGCCACTTCCAACTCCATCATTACTCTGAAGTAAATCCCACACATATCACTTTATTCATAATTAAGTTATGTACCCCTAGAACTCAAACTCTTTCCTTTTATTTACCAATTTGAAAATAAGTCTGTTCCTAAGTATCCTACAAAGATGATTACTGAGTTTTTTAATCATTTTGAACCCGTTAAACATATCTGATGCAGTTAGTGTCCTTGGAGATGTTCAAACTGTCCATCTTTTGCCAGCAGGAGCCTTTTCATGTTGCTTGAGTTCTGACATGGCCCTAGTAATCCTTCCTGGCATCCTTAATCTTTGATATGACCACGTTCCCACATTATATGAACATTTCCTGACCCAGTTCTGGAACCAACCACCTCTCCAAAGAGCCTGGAGTTCCTTTTAGAGAGAAATGGTACATAGACACAATCAACATTATCTTCCTCCTACGCCCAGCGCCTCAGTTTTCAGTAACACCAACATAATTACTCATTTCCTTTATCCCCCCAATATACACACAACCATCTCAAAATAACAGCAACAGGTTATTAATAACATGTTTATTGAAAATACTAACACTGTTACATTCTTTTCATTCTCAGGGTATATTCCACTAGAGATGTACTGTCCCATGTGTTGAAGTCACCTAGAAGAGTTCTTAGTGTGGTTATATGACTACACCAAGAGTTTTTTACTTGTGATAATTAGGGACTGCTTTTTAACTTACCTTACTTCATAATCTTAAAATACACAGTTCCACAGTCACATTTATACTAATAAGGCATATTTGAAGTCCAGCTTTCATCCTTGATCCTCCTACTCTAGGCTCTGCCTTCTCCTAAAGGTAAGCATTTTCATGATTGTTTTTATCGTACAGGTATGAACACACGTGTGGTCCCTTCCAGGCAGTCTTCAGTGATGTCACATGTGTTCTGATGGCACCAGTATTATACTCTTATCAGTCATTACATGGAATGTAACTTCCCCAAGTATTATTTGGGATCCTCCATGAGACTGTGAGCATCTGACCACTGGAGTGTTGCTTCCCATTATATCCCTATTATCAAGCACAAGGTCAGGCACAGAGTAAGACTCAAACATGTTTTGGAATGTAGGACTGGTATTAACTACAAACCAGTAAGCTAATGTTTTCATTTTGAGTCTATAAATCTAATTTTGTGGCGGTTTTGTGTATGGCTCAAGGCTCAAATTGTAAAATTTAACATTATGTGACCAAAGCAAGTTATACCCAGAACCTCAATTTCCTCACCTTCAAAATGGGGCAGTTTCTGACTTACTGGTCTGCTGTCAGGATTTTAATGAGCTCATGCACAAACAGTATGTAAGGTAAGTGCAGGATAAATGTTGGCTACTATAATAAAATAAACCTCTAAGATACTTGGTCAGCACAAGTACTACCCGAGTATGCACTGTAAGTAAACTGACAAAATTGTGTATCTAAAACTGGCCAGATGAAAGAGAAACTTTTAAGGGGCCCTTCTGCATGCCCGACACTGTGCTAGGCACTCACACTATCCCAACCTGAGAAACAGATCTGGGACCCAGAGGAACTTAGCAAGCTTCCAGCGTCTTGTGCAGCCCTATTTATGCGACCATCTGGATACCCACCCTTGTCTTTACAGGGAGCGGAACACACCTCATAGGTGTCAGAAAACACAGTCCGGGAAGTATATTTTCAGCTGAGGTACCTCTGCTCTAGACACACTGAGCTTTCTTCCAAGCATTATGTTTAACCACTTAATGGATGAAGTCCTCAAACTGCTTACCCATGCTCCCTGTAATCTCTGAGTAATCTTCCTTTTCCACAACCTCAGGCATAATCTCCTCTTCTGTTTCTATTACAATTTCAAATTCTGGAAAAAGGAAGTTGTGGTCTGGAATTATATGGTCGAAATGATCTGAAACGAAAGGGACAGCACTATTAGTAATCATTTAGTTTTGAAGACAGTTTAATAAATGGTTGTCTCTAAAGTACTATATTCCCTATAGTTCTGGCATTTTAGATAAAGGGTAATAAATTAAATGCCTATATGGTGACATTACTCAGTGATTCAGACTTTACAGCCTCTTTTTTACAAAGGTGTTCCAGGTATGAAAAATTTTGAAGTACTATACCTTCCCTAATTTTAACTTTAAAGTTATCCTGGAAATATTTGGGTTGACAAAGGCGATGAAACTGAACTGAGATTTTTAAAAAAAGATTACTCACCTGGTTGTGCACAAGTCTGCTTATGTCCCAATCTCCAGTCTAGGGTCTGATGCTCCTTGCTGCAGTAATATGCTTTGTGGCATCTGGAGCACGTTTTGGGGCCTAAACAGCCACAAACCCTGCAGAGATGAGCACCAGACTTAAGCTGGAGACACACTGATTCTCCTGTTTCTGGGGGAGGATTCTCAGAAGGTGGCTCATATGAGTAAAAATCGTTTTTCCTGGGTAGCTGATTCCTAAAAACTAAAAGAGAATGCAGAGAAAAGTTATATCTTCAAACAAAACAGCAATTCAAATATTTCATCCTCTACACATAAAACTGAAAATACTTTTTTAAAAAATGAAAGTTTTTGCTTTCAGGAATAAGCTTTTAAAATCCCGAAACTAGATTTCGTCTGGTACGCAATTGAGTTGCCTCCTGGAGCTAGTCTGAGTTAATCCAATTAGTAAGACTGATCGTTAAGAACGACTGCCAAAAATACGAAAAAGCTACTGGGACCCATCTTTCCAAGACAATTTCTATTATCTGAATAGCACCATACCTAGCACCCACTGATTAAAAGCTGGGGGCTACCGATGCGCATGGGCAGTTAGAAGCTTGTGTAGTAAAAATGAGGACATCCTGGAAGGGCCCGGGAGAAGGTGCTCCTGGGGAAGCGCGGGGGAGGGAGCTCGAGGATGGGGCGGCAGCGGTGCTTTCCGCCGTCTCCCTCCTGGCTCCCGGAATTAACGCGCACGCGTGGGAGGCATGGCCCCGTCTCGGCCCCGTCTCGACCCCGTCTGGCGGCTCACCTCGCAGGCCGGCACAGCACGGCGGCTCGCGGCAGCAGAAGAGGAAGATGCCGCGGTGGAAGGCGTCCGCGCGGCCGGGCAGCGGCGCGTACACCTGCAGCAGGAAGGAGAGCGGGCGGCCGCACAGCGCGCAAGCCAGGGCCCGGGGCCCGGGCAGCCCGGCCGCGCCCAGCCATGCCGGCCGCCCGCCCACCTTGCTGGGGAACTGCTCGCTGCGCAGTCGCCACGCCGGCGCTGACTCGGCGAAGCCCAGCTCCACAAGTCTGGCCCCGGCGGCAGCCATGCGGGGCGCGAGCTGGCGTGAGGGGCGGGGCTGGCGTGAGGGGCGTGGGGCGCAGCCCACAGCCGGGCCGGTAGGCGGAAGTCGGGCGCGGGGCGGAAGGCAAGAGGCGGGCACTTTCCGGAGGGCAGGAGGCGGGAACGCGTCTAACGGGAGCGGCTGCAGGACCCAAGCGAGGGAGCGGGGCAAGGAAACCTCCCAGCGTTGGCCCCGCCCCTGGCGCCTCTGCTTCCGAGCCGCTTACCTGGTTCCTCCGGGTGCTCAGGGATGGTTCTGGTCTTTGGAAGAGTCAAAGCTGGTGACGGCGCCCCCCTCACCTCTGCTCATGTCCTGCTGTGGGCCTGCGGGTGACCGCCAGCCAGGCAGAGCCGTCACTCAAACCTTGCCTGCTGGTGTCCTCAGGATGTGGGAAACCTGTGCGTTGGCCAAGTGTTACCCAGGAGTAGGCAGTGAAAGGTAAATGAAGGTTGAACAGGTAAAGTGAGGACCGTACAGTGGAAAGCGAGAATCCTGTGTGCCCTGAAGGTAATGAAGAAGCCTCTGCAAAAGAGTCTTTTCTGTCAGTCTTAAGGTCTCTGTTTTAACGTTAATGCTGGCTTGCTGTGCCTGAATTCCAAGGGAGGCGTGTATTATGAGGCATGGCCAACCCCCACCCGTCATTGCCTGAACTGGTTTTTCAGGTTAACTTAAGAATGCCCTTGGGCAAGCAGAGGGTCCATCAGTAGGTTGGAGGGTTTCGAATTTTACTGTTGGTTTGCAGAGGTCTGAAAGAAACATGCACCAGCTGTTCTCTCTGAAGACTTCTACCTGTGAGGTCTCATTTACATAACAAGACCGTGGTTGTCAGCCAGGTCTCCCACTCCCATAACCTGTTATGCCACAATCCAAACCCCCATTCTGTAACCTCAAGATGGTATATAAGCTTCTGAACCCCATTTGGGGCTTCAGCAAAATCACTCTAGTTCTCCCCCATGTGCATGTTAATAAATTTGTATGCCCTTTCTCCAATTAATCTGCCTTTTGTCAGTTGACTTTTCAGTGAACCTTCAGAGAACAAAAAGGAAGCTTTCCATTGGCTACTACAGTGGCTTTAATGGAAGTAAAGTCATCAACGTTTATTTTTGACAAAATCACAGTTTAATTGGCAGTATATTTGTTTTCTTTTTGTTTTATTTGAGATGGAGTCTCACTCTGTCGCCCAGGCTAGAGAGCAATGGCGCGATCTTGGCTCACTGCAGCCTCCGCCTCCCCAGTTCAAGCATTCGCCTGCCTCAGCCTCCCGAGCAGTTGAGTAGTAGTATATTTGTAATGGTACATAAAATAATGTCTGTTTTTAAATAAACATTTACATTGTGAATCAAAAGTTATCTCAACTCTCCATCAATTTTTTTTTTCTTTTTTGAGATGGCATCTTGCTCTGTCACCCAGGCTGGAGTGCAGTGGCTGCAACCTCTGCCTCCTGGGCAAGTGATCCTCTTGCCTCAGCCTCCTGAGCAGCTGGAGTTATAGGTGTGTGCCACCACACCCAGCTAATTTTTGTATCTTTGGTAGAGACAGGGTTTCGCCATGTTGGCCAGGCTTGTCTCAAATTCCCGACCTCAGGTGATCTGCCCGCCTCAGCTTCCCAAAGTGCTGGGATTATAGGCATGAGCCACCGCATCCGGCATCCATCAGTTTAGAAAGTTTATTTCACCAAGGTTAAGGTTGCGCCCATGGCAGCCCCAGAAGGCCCTGACAACATGTGCCCTAGGTGGTCAGGGTACAGTTTGCTTTTGTACATGTTAGGGAGACATGAGACATCAATCAGTATGTGTAATATGTACTTTAGTCAGGTAAAGCTGAACTTGAGGCAAGGGCTTCCAGGTCATGAGTAGATAAGAGGCAAAAGATTGCATTCTTTTGAGTCCTTGTTCAGCCTTCCACTGAATACACAATTTAGGCTGGCTCAGTGAATCATCATTTTTACATAAACAGTAGGGGAGGGGAAACAATCATATATGCATTTGTCTCAGGTGCACCTTAGAGGGATAACTTTTGAGTTCTGTCCGTCCTTTTTCCACAAGGAATTTCCTTGTATGCAAATTTTAAGGGAGGTATGTAGCCTCTTATCTTGGTAGCTATATCTTATTTAGGAATAGAATGGGAGGCAGGTTTGTCTGACATAGTTCCCAGCTTGACTTTACCCTTTTAAGGGAGGAGATCACCCCTCATATTGTCTTATGCCCAGTTTCTGCCTCCAAAGAAAGAAGAAGTAAAAGCTAAAAGGCAGAAATGAAATCCACAAGCAGACAGCTGAACGCCACACCCTGGGCCTGGTAGTCAAAGATCGACCCCTGACCTAATCAGTTATGTTATCTATAGATTACAGACATTGTATAGAAAAGCACTGTGAAAATTCCTATCCTATTTTGCTCCAATTTAATTACCAGTGCATGCAGCCCCCAGTCACGTATCCCCTGCTTGTTCAATCGATCACGACCCTGTCATGTGCACCCCCTTAGAGTCATGAGCCCTTAAGAGGGACAGGAATTGCTCACTTGGGGAGCTCGCCTCTTGAGACAGGAGTCTTGCCAATGCGCCCAGCCAAATAAACCCCTTCCTTCTTTAACTCGGTGTCTGAGGAGTTTTGTCTGCGACTTGTGGAACATCCCTGTGGGGGACCCCGACCAGCCCGAGTGACGTGGATCCTGAGAGCGCTCCCAAGTAGGCATTTGCCCCGGTGGGACACCTCGCCAGAGCAGTGTGTGTCAGGCCCCCATGGAGAATCAATGCAGGAGCTGAACACCGGGAAGGAACGGGCACTTGGAGGCTGGACATCTAAAACTTGGTAAGACTAGTCTTTGAAACTTGCCCCCTCTGTTTGAGTGGAAGCATGGCCTGATCACCCATGGCGTGCCTTTATTGGCACTTTGGTTTTGGTTTTGGTTTTGACTTGGTTTGAATTGCTTGACAGGATTGGTCTTGGGAACTTGCCCACTCCATTTGAGTGGAAGGATGGCCTGATCACCCTTCGTGTGCCTGTACTGGCACTTTGGTTTTTGTTTTTGACTTGACTTTGATTGCTTGATACTTTGGTTTTGGTTTTGACCTGGCTTGGATTTCTGGATACTCTGATTTTGGTTTTGGTTTTAGTTTGGCGCAAACTGCAAAAGTGTGTGTGTGCCCTTTTTACCCATTCTTTGTTTTGTGGTGTGCATGTGGTGTGAGCATGGTGTTTTGTCTCAAAGAAGCATAGGTCAGGCACAAATAAGCCCATGCTACTAGGAACTATATTGAAAAATGTCAAGAAAGAATTTAAAGGAGACTATGGAGTACTATGACTCTAGGAAAACAAAACTTTGTGTAAGATAGACTGGCCAGCATTAGAAATAGGTTGGCCATTGTAAGGAAGCCTGGAGAGGTCCTTTGTTTCAAAGGTATGGCACAAGGTAACCTGTAAGCCAGGGAACCCAGAGCAGTTCCTATACATAGACACTTGGTTACAGCTGGTTTTAGATCCCCTGCCCCCAACACACAGTGGTTGAGAGAACAGCAGCATAAGCGGCTGGCAGAGGCAAGGAAAGACCAGCAGAGAAAGGAAAGCAAAGAGACAGAGAGGAAAAAAGACAAAGAGAGAGAGGAAGAGACAGAAAAGAAGAGACAGACAAAGAGGGAGTCAAAGAGAGAGAGAGAAAGAAAGAGGCAGAGAGAGAGAACAGATACAGTCAAAAGAAAAGTCAAAGAGAGAGATATACAAGTAGTTAAAAAGAAAGTGTACCCTATTCCTTTAAAAGCTAAGGTAAATTTAAAACCTATAATTGATAATTGAAGGTATTCTCCATAACCTTATAACACTCCTGTACCACTTTGTTGTCAGTGTAAACAAGGACTTATCCTGAAAGCACTGAGGCCTTCCTATCAAAAATCCTTAACCCGTTAACCAACAGATGGCCCAAATACATTCAATCTGTAGCAGCAACTGCTTTGCTAACAAAAAAAAAAGTAAAAAAAACACAAAAAACTCTTAGAGGAAACCTCATTGTGAGCACACGTCACCAGTTCAGAAGAATCCTAAGGAAAGAAAAAAAAGGATGGACTCATCACACCCGAGTCAAGAAAGTGCCATGACCTCCAGAGTCATGGGCCATAGTCCCAGTGGAAAACCCTACCAAATTAAAGCTAAGAAAAATTTAACTCTTTTCATCTATTCTATTACTCTTTTTTCTTTTCTCGTTCTATTGCTGACCATCTAGTTATTAACATAACCAAGTCAATTTCACCTCTAACTCTTGCATTTAATGCTTGCTTTGTTATAACCTGTGAGGACTTGCCAAGTCAAAGACAGCTTTCTACGTCAGAAAAGTACTTCTGTCCCTCCTGACTCTCCTCAGACTGGGCATTAGTAAACTGGGACCATTTAATCCAGGGAGATTTCGATAAAGACCCCTGTGCCAATCAGGAGTGTTGCCCCCTGATGTAGAGCTTTCATGCCACAGTTGGTCCAACGTTCTGTGGACCACTAAAGAGCAAGGATGGACTGCCCCAACCAGTTTTTGTGATTTCTTAAAACCACACATTCATTTTACTAGAGGATCATAGAATTTAAAGACTTAAAACAAACTTTAGCAATTAAGATAGGATACCAAGATGCAAATGCCTGGTTAAAATAGATCAAATATTCCATCTGCATGTTAAACAAAAGCAATTGTTACACTTGTGCACATGGCAGGCCAGAGGCCCAGATTGTCCCCTTTCCACTAAGGTGGTCCTCCAGTTGACCAGGTGTGGGCTGCATGGTAGCTCTTTTCAAGGATTCTACAGCCTGGAGTAATAAGTCATGCCAAGCTCTCTCTGCTATATGCCAAAGTCCAGCACCATGCGAGTCAGCCCCTGAGGGCCATCCAGCTTCCATCTCCCAAAACTAAGTTCACTTCGTGTCTCTCACAACAGGGAGAAAACTTAGTGTTCCTTGGAGACCTGAAAGGATGCAGTGAGCTTAAGAATTTTCAAGAGCTTATCAATCAGTTAGCCCTTGTTCATCCCCAAGCAGATGTGTGGTGGTATTGTGGTGGACCTTTACTGGGCACTCTGCCGAATAACTGGAGTGGCACTTGCACTTTAGTCCAATTGGCTATCCCTTTCACCCTGGCATTTCATCAACCAGAAGGAAAAAAAATAAGACATTGGAAAGCGAGAGAAGCCCCTTATGGGGCTTTCGACTCTCATGTCTATTTAGACACAAATGAAGTCCCATGAGGAATACTAAATCAATTTAAAGCTTGAAATCAAATAGCTGCAGGATTTCAGTCAATATTTTAGTAGGTGACAGTTAATAAAAATGTAGATTACATAAACTACATCTATTACAACCAACAGCAATGAGCTTTTCATGAGTTAAAAGAAAAACTCATGTCAGTCCCAGCCCTGAGGTTACCTGACCTGACAAAACTCTTTACACTGTATGTGTCAGAAAGAGAAAAAATGGCAGTTGGAGTTTTAACCCAGACTGTGGGGCCCTGGCCAAGGCCAGTGGTCTATCTCTCAAAACAACTGGACAGGATTTCCAAAGCCTGGTCCCCAGGTCTAAGGGCCCTAGCAGCAATGGCCCTGTTAGCACAAGAAGCAGATAAAGTAACCCTTAGGCAAAACCTGAATATAAAGGTCCCCTATGCTGTGGTAACTTAATGACTACCAAAAGACATCATTGGTTAACAAATACTAGATTAACCAAGTACCAAAGCTTGCTATGTGAAAATCCCCACATAGCCATTGAAGTTTGCAACACCCTAAACCCCACCACCTTGCTCCTGGTATCTGAGAGCCCAGTTAAATATAACTGTGTAGAGGTATTGGACTCAGTTTCTTCTAGCAGGCCCAACCTCCAAGACCATCCTTAAACATCAGTAGACTGAGCGGTACGTGGACGGCAGCAGCTTTGACGACAAGCCCTACTCCAGTCACACTCAGAAGCTGATTGGTCCATGCACAGCCGAAGCATAAGGAAACTCATCGCAGGACTCATTTTCCTTAAAATTTGGACTTTTACAGTAAGGACTTCAACTGACCTTCCTAGACTGAGGACTGTTCCCAGTATATACATCAAGTCACTGAAGTAGGACAAGAGGTTGCTACAGTCCTATTGTTTTATGGTTATTATAAGTGTACTGGAACTCTTTAAAAAGAACTTGTTTGTATAATGTTATTCTATACAAGGTATGTAGCCCAGGAAATGACCAACCTGATGTGTGTTATTCTCCATCTGAGCCTTCCATGACCACATTTAAAAAAATAAGATTAAGGACTGAGGACTGGTGGGGGCTCATAAACGATACAAGTAAAGTGTTAGCCAAAACAGAAGAAAAAGGGGTGCCCAAACAAGTCACTTTAAAATTTGATGCCTGTGCTGTCATTAATAGTATTATGTTAGGAATAAGGTGTGGTTCTCTTAATTGGAAAAGAGGCTATATGACAGAAAATAAGTACATCTGTCATAAATTAAGACTGTGTGGAAATAAATGTAAATATTGGTCTTGTGTCATCTAGGCCACTTAGATTTAAAAAAAAAAAAAAAAAAGAAAAGGATCCAGTTCACCTTCAGAAAGGAAAAAATGGCCCTTCCTGTACTAAGAGATAATGTAACCCCTTAGAGCTAGTAATAACCAATCCCCTGATCCTCGCTGGAAAAAAGAGGAGTGTGTGACCTTAGGAATTGACGGAGCTGGACTGGATCCTTGAGTAAATATCTTGGTTCAAGGAGAGTTTACAAACGCTCTCAGCCAGTGTTTCAAACTTTCTATGATGAACTAAATGTGCCAGTAGAAATTCCAAGAAAAACAAGAAATTTGTTTTTACAATTAGCCTAGCATGTAGCCCAGTCTCTCAATGTCACTTCATGTTATGTATGTGGAGGAACTGTAATGGGAGATCAATGGCCATGGGAAGCCCGAGAATTAGTAACTACAGACCCAGTTCCTGATGAATTCCTGACTCAAAAGAATCACCCTGATAATTTCTAGGTCCTAAAAGCCTCAATTATTGGACAATGTTGCATAGCTAGAGAAGGAAAAGAATTCACTCACCCTATAGGACAACTTAGTTATCTGAGACAGAAACTGTATAATGGTACCACAAAAACAGTCACTTGATGGAGTTCAAATCACACAGAGAGAAATCCATTGAGTAAATTCCCAAAGTTGCAAACTGTGTGGACCCACCCGGAGTCCAACCAGGACTGGACAGCCCCCACTGGATTATACTGGATATGTGGGCATAGAGCTTGCACCAAATTACCTGACCAGTAGGCAGGTAATTGTGTTATTGGCACTATTAAGCCATCTTTCTTCCTACTGCCCATAAAAACAGGTGAACTCCTGGGGTTCCCTGTCTGTGCTTCCCATGAAAAGAGAAGCATAGCTATAAGAAATTGAAAAACAGATAAATGGCCCTCTGAGAGAATCAGACAATATTATGGGCCTGCTACTTAGGCACAAGATGGCTCATGGGGATATTGGACCCCCATTTACATGATCAACTGAATCATATGGTTACATTTATGCTTGCTGCATAAATGCAGTCTTAATACAAATCCCACCTTGTTACCACCAGATAGCTGTGCTATTTAGAACTTGAGTCATTACAGACTTTGCTGCCCTGCACATTGAAGGTTCTACAATGTTCCATCTGTTCTCCTTAAATCTTTTCCTTCCAGAGTCATATCCATGGGGAAATTGAGAACACACTTGGTTTCAGTTACTAAAGTTTTGGATACAGCACAACTAAAATGAAGCAGCTGAAAGCTCCAAACACACTCACTGTCCAGGCTGAAAGAATGCTCCAGGGCTGACAGGGCCACTCTGCCATCCCTAACCCATGGCTTCCCACCCAGAGCCAAGCATTCCACTGCTTGCTAATCCTAGGCCAACAGGCAATGGGCAAGGTGGGGTGGTGGATAATGGGTAGATCATCATTTCCACTTAGGTTCATTGGCCAGAGCTTGCTTTGGTGGTAACATCTAGCTGCAAGGGAGGCTGTGGGATAGACCTTGCTAAAATTGAAGAAGATGGAGATAGTCAATTTTTAAAAAGGGGAGAAATGGATATCAGGGGAAAATCACAGTATCCAACATACCACTTTAATGAGGAAAGTTCTATTTGCAGGTGTCTGTCACCTCCCTCCCCCCCGCACCCCCCACCCATTCTGTGACCTCCCAGCAAGCTGAACCTTTCCTACTCTTGCCAGTGGAAGTTCAGCTCTGCATCCCTGCCTCAGGGCTCAATTCACTGCCTGTTCAGGAAGCTGTCCCAGACCCCCTTAGCCCAATGACAGTGTCTGCTGTGTTCAGTGAATGTGTGTATTACAGTGAAGTACACTCATCTTAAGTGTACAGCTTGTTGATCAAGATGTGGAACATTCTAGCATCCAGGGAGGTTCCTTTATGCCCTTTTCTAGTGAGTACCTACTCCCAGGGTAACCACTATCAGGGTCTGTATTGCCAAAGACCAGTTTATTATTAGGCTGAGCACTTTCTGTCTTCTCTAGTTCAATGTCATGTCTTCACGATCCATCTGTGTTGTATGTATCTGTAGACCTCACTTTTGATAGAGGCTTAGTATTCCATTGTGTAAGTGAACCGCAGCTTGTGTGTGTCCTGCTGATGGAGGTGGGGGCTGTTCCCAGCAGATGTTCTAGCCCATGTTCTCTGGTGGCCACATTCGGCACATAACATGCTTGCTGTTTTGACTACTCACACGGAAACTCATGCTCATGACCTTTAGCCACTTAGGATGACAGCTTTATTTATGAGATGGGGTCTTGTTCTGTTGCCCAGGCTGGAGTGCAGTGATGCAATCATGGCTCACGGCAGCCTCTACCACCTGGGCTTGAGTGATCCTGTGTTGTATGTATCAGTAGACCTTACTTTTGATGGAGGCTTAGTATTCCATTGTGTAAGTGAACCGCAGCTTGTGTGTGTCCTGTCTCAGCCTCCCGAGTAGCCAGGATTACAGGCGCACCCCACCATGCCCCACTAACACTGGCTTTCAGTGATGCAAATCTGCCCTATGGGGGTGGTCTCTGTCATTGATCTTACCTACGACTCAGCACTGGGATTGTTCCTGGTTCCAGTGTACACAGAGACTGTGACCCCTATCTGGATTTGGGGTGAGGCAGTTGTACATCCTGGAGGACTTCAACCACAGCTTATTAGCTGTTTGTTGATTAATCAAAATTGGAAAAGATCCTTTATCTTACAAAATTTAAGGTCCCCGCTGCTGATGTGTGAAGGGCTTTCACAGCGCTTCTTCTAATTCTGTGGTTTGATTGGCTGCTCTTATGCATTTCCTGGCTTTCCTTGAGTTCATACCAGCTGACCAATCTCTGGGGCCCTGCTGGTGGGCTGGATGTTGTAGGAGAAGCTGGGACCTGAGATGAGAACAGGCCTGGCACTGTGCCAGAGGTCCCAGGACATCTCTGTGCCGGGGCTCTTTGTGTACAATGAAAGTTGGACAATCTTTCTTGGAAAACGTGCCTGAGGTTCACGTGTGGAATGAAGACCTCACAGCAGTTTCACTCGTGGTGAGCTGTGGATACCCGCAGGGCCAAGAGCTTGCACTCCACCTTCAGCCTGGGAGGTGTGCCTGGCTTGCCTGGCTGGCAGCTCATCCCTTCTGCACTCATGGGAGGGTGTTTGTGAAGCCTTTGTCTCGAGGGCTGTCAGAGCACTGTGGGAATTTCTCTGCTCCTCCTAAAAGCCCGCCTGCTGAGTGGGTGCATTTATTTTCTCTTATCACATCAGTACGCTTGTCAAAAGCTGGATTACAAATCAGTTCTGTGATGTCAGATCTCTCTTTTTGCCTTGACTTCTGAGATAGGATAGATGGTACGCATATGCATGAGGTCCTGTGTGAGGCCCACTAGTGCCAGTCAACTGGCTATGCGGTGGCACACGAGTGATTGGTGCTGAGTATTAAATCCTATGCCACCTCAGGTGGGTTTGTTTTGTTTAAAAACTTTGCATGAATATGCTCCTTTGCCAGAGGTGGGATAGTTTGCCTGGAAGGTGACACTGTGTGTCTGCATGGACAGGAGCAGCAGACATCAGAGAGATGTGATTGAGATAAATGGTATGTTGATATAACCCCACTCCACTCCTCAGGAGGTGAGCAGCTGGGATCCCTGCATGTGTGGAGGTCTGTCCCTTGAGGGTCTCACTGTTGAGGAGGCTTCACTCCACTCCTCAGCATATGAGCAGCCCCAGGTCCCTGTGTGCAAGGAGGTCTGCCCCTCAGAAGGGTTTACCTGTGAGCCCACACTCACCTGTCCTGCACCGCGAGCTGGTAGCAGTTCCCCAGGGATGTGGCCCCATGGGTTGTAGGAAGGACACCACTCAGGGATGAGCTGCTTCCTAAATGCCCTCATGCATCCTAGACCCTCTTCTCAGCAGCCTGAGCCTCTGATCCTGCCCATGAATGCTGGTGTGGGTGTGTTTGTCCCTGTGTCAGGTCTGTCTGGTGGAGATGGGGCAGGTGCAGTGATATGGTTTGTCTGTGTCCTCACCCAAATCTCATCTTGAATTGTACTCTCATAATTCCCGCATGTTGTGGGAGGGACCCGGTGGGAGATAATTTGAATCATGGGGGTGGTTCCCCCATACTGTTCTCGTGGTAGTGAATGAGCCTCATGAGATCTGATGGTTTTATCAGGGGTTTCCCACTTTTGCATCTTCCTTATTCTTTCTTGCAGCCACCATGTAAGAAGTGCCTTTCACCTCTCACCGTGATTCTGAGGCCTCCCCAGCCATGTGGAGCTGTAAGTCCAATTAAACCGTTTTTTCTTCCCAGTCTGGGGTATGTCTTTATCAGCAGTGTGAAAAGGAACTAATACAGTAAATAGGTACCAGTAGAGTGGGGCATTGCTGAGAAGATACCTGAAACTGTGGAAGCGACATTGGAACTGGGTAACAGGCAGATATTGGAAGTTTGGAGGGCTCAGAAGAAGACAGGAAAATGTGGGGAAGTTTGGAACTTCCTAGAGACATTTTGAATAACTTTGACCAAAAGTCTGATAGTGATATGGACAATAAGGTCCAGGCTGAGATGGTCTCAGATGGAGATGAGGAACTTGTTGGAAACTGTAGCAAAGGTAACTCTTGTTATGTTTTAGCAAAGAGACTGGCAGCATTTTACCCCGCCCTAGAGATTTGTGGAACTTTGAACTTGAGAGAAATTATTTAGGGTATCTGGTGGAAGAAATTTCTAAGCAGCAAAGCGTTTAAGAGGTGGGGTGCCATTAAAGGCATTCAGTTTTATAAAGGAAGCAGAGCATTGAAGTTTGGAAAATTCGCAGCCTAACAATGTGATAGAAAATAAAAACCCAATTTCTGAGGAGAAATTCTTGCCAGCTGCAGAAATTTGCTTGAGTAATGAGGAGCCGAATGTTAATCCCCAAGACAATAGAAAAATGTCTCCAGGAATGTCAGAGAGCTTCACGGCAGCCCCTCCCATCGTAGGCCCAGAGGCCTAAGAGAAAATGGTTTTGTTGGCCTGGCCCAGGGTCCCCGAGCTGTGTGCAGCCTAGTGACTTGGTACCCTGCATCCCAGCTGCTCCAGCCATGGCTGAAAGGGACCAATGTACAGCTCAGGCCGTGGCTTCAGAGGGTGCAAGCCCCAAGCCTTGTCAGCTTCCACATGGTGTTGAGCCAGCAAATGCACAGAAGTCAAGACTTGGGGTTTGGGAACCTCTGTCTAGATTTCAGAAGATGTATGGAAATGCCTGAATGTCCAGTCAGAAGTTTGGTGCAGGGGCGGGATGTTCGTGGAGAACCTCTGCTAGGGCAGTGCTGCAGGGAAATGTGGGGTTGGAGCTCCCACACAGAGTCCCTACTGGGGCGCTGCTTAGTGGAGCTGTGAGAAGAGGGCCAAAGTCCTCCAGACCCCAGAATGGTGGATCCACCGACAGCTTGCACTGTTCGCCTGGAAAAGCTACAGACCCTCAGTGCCAGCCTGTGAAAGCAGCTGGGAGGGAGGCTGTACCCTGCAAAACCACAGGGACGGAGCTGCCCAAGACCATGGGAACCCATCTGTTGCATCAGCATGACCTGGATGTGAGACCTGGAGTCAAAGGAGATCATTTTGGAGCCTTAATATTTGACTGCCCCACTGGATTTCAGACTTGCATGGGCCCTGTAACCCCTTTGTTTTGGCCAGTTTCTCCCATTTGGAATGGCTGTATTTACCCAATACCTGTACCCCCATTGCATCTAGGAAGTGACTAGCTTGCTTTTCATTTTACAGGCTCATAGGGACTTGCATTGTCTCAGATGAGACTTTAGACTGTGGACTTTTGGGTTAATGCTGAAATGAGTTAAGACTTTGGGGGACTGTTGGGAAGGTGTGATTGGTTTTGAAATGTGAGGACATGAGATTTGGAGGGGCCAGGGGTAAAATGATATGGTTCGGCTCTGTGTCCCCACCCAAATCTGATCTTACATTATACTCCCAGAATTTCCACATGTTGTGGGAGAGATCTGGTGGGAGATAATTTGAATCATGGGGGCGGTTTCCCCCACTATGTTCTTGTTATAGTGAATGAGTCTCACAAGATCTGATGGTTTTATCAGGGGTTTCTGCTTTTGTATCTTCCTCATTTTCTCTTGCCACCACCATGTAGGAAGTGCCTTTCAACTCCTACCATGATTCTGAGGCCTCCCCAGCCATGTGGAAATGTAAGTCCCATTAAACCTCTTTTTCTTCCCAGTCTCAGATATGTCTTTATCAGCAGCATGAAAACAGACTAATACATGCAGGGAGCACAGGCCCAGGACTGCAGGCCTGGCCACCTCATCCACTTCCGTCAGCAGCCCTGCAGTAGGCTTTCTGTAGTGGAGGTCAGAGTACTCCTGGTGACCCACCCCACCCACCATAGACCCTGGTGTGGATGTCACCTAGCAGAGGCCGATTGAATTGTGTGGCTTGGGGGGTGGGGACAGAACCTACCACTCTTTATCTCCACTCAGAGCTGTGGGCTCTGGTCACACTCAACACAGCTTTTCGCTCATGGAATTATGAAAAGATTCTTTCATTTTTAAAAAGTGCCCTGAAAACAGCCACCTACCAGCAGTAAAGGGACAGGCCTAGGAAAGCATTGGCTTCTACTCAGAGATGAGGGCTTGTGGTTCAGCTGCAGGAAGGCTGAATCTGCCAGCAGCTCAGGCCCACAGTGTGAGCCCAAAACAGACTTACTATTCTGTACTATTATAATGCCACACATGCAAGAGGTCACTCTTTACTGTGCTTGCAACTTTGGGTTTTTGAGAAGGGCTCAGCAGCCATCCCTGTGGATGGCTGTGAGATGCTGAACCCATCTCTAGGCCTGGGGGAGAACAAACAGCTTGGTGAGCAAGTTGAGTGTATGAATTGCTCCCATTGGCTGGGGTCTTATTCACTCACCAGGGCCTGTGTTGAGCACAGAACATGTATTCATATTAGATTCGCACTACTACTCTGGGATGAATGTTTTTATCCATTTTACAAAGGGGAAACAGGATCAGAGAAGTTAAATAAATTATCCAAAGTTACACAGCCAATACAGGTGAGGATTGGAACCCAGGTGTGTCCACTCAGAGCCTGGCTCTTTGCAACTTTGCTGTGTTTTCTGTCTGTATTTGTACAACTCCAGTGACCCAGTCTGCATCCCCTCAGTCCCTCCCAGGGGGCAGCACAGCTCGGATGGAGAACTGCCTAATTCCTCCATGTATCATGAGCTCACATTGGAATGGGACCCCACTTTCTTCCACAGGCTGGAGTTCTAGGCATCTGCCTAAGTGAATTAACCTTTCAGGAAAGTCTTGTGAAGGCAGGGACAGATGAACAGCCTGTGCTCATGCCTCACACACTTGGGCCCAGGCCAACTCCCTAGCACCCCTCCCCTGGCCCCACCTCTCAGCACTAGAGTCTCCTGAGCTTTCACTTGTTTCTGGAGTGGCCCTGGCCCGTTCATCCTGCTCCCTTGCTGATGGGCCATCCTTGTCCATTGCCTCCGTGAGGGGCATCTCCTCCCACCTGGGGTGTTTCTTCCCACAAAGGGCACCCCTTGTATCTAACCTTCCATTTGGAATTCTCTCTCCCATCATTGTAGCTCTTTAGGTGTTTTCAAAATTGCCTTCTTGAATTCAGCCTCAGCTCCTCATTTACTAGCCTTGTGACTATGGGCAGGTTATTAAACCCCTCTAGGTTTCAGTCTCCTCATTTGTAAAGTGGGAACAATGTCACCTCCCTAGAGTTGCCATCAGGATTAAAGACAGCATGCACACAAAGCTTGGCATAGACTCTGTCTTCTCTCCTGTATGATAAATCCCTTCTGGACAGAGACCACATTCATAGACCTCTGTGTCCTCCACTTCTACCCCTCCCCAACTTCTACATTATCAGGGCTGGGTGCGTCGATGCAGAACACATGCGTGAACCAGAGTGGCAGGCCCTCTGCAGCGACTGTCTCTGCTCAGAGGGGACCACAGGGTACAGTGGGTTTAGCCATCACCCTGGGCAGTCTGACACGATGCTTGTCTGGGCAGTTCTGCGAGTGCCAACGGCTGGGCCATCATCACTGTGGATCTTGGGTGGATAGCACCTGGGCAGGCGCCAGGCTCCACCTCATCTGACTCATAGGTGTGTGGCCCGATTTTAAATGGTCCCAACGTGCCAGCCCAGGAAGTCATTCCGTAGCAAACAACTGCCGAGTCCCATGCTCCAGCAGGTTCCTCATTAGGATGTCCGCCTGTATTTCTTTTAAGACCGATTGCACTCTGTTTTCCTACATGGAGTTCTTTCTGTGTTTCTTAGTTTCCTACAGGACACAGATGTGCACATGTGCTCCCTGGCTTGAAGGTCCGAGGCGGCTCATGTTTGCCATGCACACGCGTGAGCTCCTTTACAGCTGGAATATCCCTGGGCTTGGATGGTAGGCCAGCATCGCCATCCCCTCCCAACAGACCCTGCTCTAGGCCAGGAGCTCTGACAGTCTAAGGCGAGTCTCAGCCCCTGCCAGTGAATGGTTTAGAGCTGCGCATGTGACCCCACCCTGACAGTGAGACTTGAGGGTCTTCTTCCTCTGATGTGGTGATACTGTGACCCTGTGACCCACCTGGATGCGTGGGGGAATGTGGGAGACACTTGAAGGCCCCCAGCACGTCCTGGAGCCAACTCCCGTGTCAGCGTTTCCCTGGAGCATCTCAGACACACACAAGCTCCTGCTTGCCTGGCTGCCCACACCGTCCTCCTCGTTCCTGGGACTCTCCAGGCTCCTTTGGTTGTGCCATGGGATGAAATGCTCTCTGTCCTCATGCTTCACCTGATTATTTCCACTCCTTATACACTCAGTTTAAATCAGGGCCTGTGTTTTCCAGTCTTCTTTTGCGTCTCTCAGAGTTTGCAATTACATATTTGCATGTGTGATTACTGTCTTAACTTCTGACTCGAGCAAACCATCAGCCGCATGAAGACAGGTCAGTTGTTCAGCACCTTGGAGTCAACACCCATTCAGGCCCAGGCCTCTCTGGCATTCATTTTGTTGAATGAATGAACACTGAAAGACAGCCGATAGGTGTGACTAGTGAGATGCTTACTGGGCTGTTTATTACCCTGTTTTTCAATCTTTAATGTGCACATGAATGCTGAATCTCGTGAGAGTGCAGATTTGGACTCTGGGTCTGGTGTAGAACATCTCCAGCTGGCTCTAGGGAATGATTCTGGTTCAAGGAATATCCTTGAGGAGCAGGAGCTAGAACTTTCTGAAACGACCTTGCCTGGGCC